GTTTTGTGATGTAAGACAGTTTTGTGTAGATCCGTGTAAGACTAAGACTATTGTGTGTAGAAAAGTTTTGTGATGTAAGACTAATTTGTGTAGGCCGGTGTGAGACTATCATGTTTAGACAGGTTTTGTGATGTAAGACAGTTTTGTGTAGAACAGTGTAAGACTATTGTGTGTAGACATGTTTTGTGATGTAAGACAGTTTTGTGTAGAACAGTGTAAGACTGTCGTGTGTAGACATGTTTTGTGATGTAAGACAGTTTTGTGTAGAACAGTGTAAGACTATTGTGTGTAGACATGTTTTGTGATGTAAGACAATTTTGTGTAGGCCAGTGTAGAACTGACATGTATTTAGGTGTTGGTTTGCGATTGCTTGCTCTCAATTTAATTTTTGTTATGGTTTTTTTTCTTCAGGATGTTAGCATTAGACAGTTTCTTATTACAAACTTGGAGCACATAAATGGCAGGTTCCGATGGAAAGTAAATTTAGATGCGATTATCAACAGTATGCCAGAACTGGGAGGTTTTCCTGAATTCAGTCAACAATTTACTAGACCTACACTTTTCGTCGGAGGACAGAACTCAAATTATATATTGTAAGTTTCACTGTGTATGGCTTCAATACAAATACTGGCAGTAATCTTAGATCCGTGTTTTAAATGTCAAGAAATTGGTTTTCCCACACCAAGGGTATGTTTTTTGTTGACCAATCCATGACATGGTTGTTATTTTTTCTTAAATATGAAATATTTCTTGAAGAAATGTAAAACTGAAACCAGTTTGATAGAGTTGTTCAATTTGACCAAAACAATAAAAGGAAAAGCTGCAGATTGTAAAGGTCAAGGTCATTAGGGCACATGGTTGAAATAATTTTTCTTTCAAGTAATGAATGATCTCTAGTTGAATTGCTATAGGTATTCACCTAGAGGAAGAGGTAAATCTGCATAGACTGAATGCAAAGGCCACAAAATCAATTGTTTTACTGAGTCTTTGACATGTCAGTGTCTCACTATGATGCATGGACCGACACCAAAATTAGTACATTTGTTCAATAGGCTAACTGAATAGATTGTGTAACAAGAGGCCCAGAGGGCCTGTACCGCTCACCTGAATATGTTTAAAATAATTAGTATGAAGTAAATATATAGCACTCCATGGTAGGTGCTGTAAGTACATATGAAATTTCAGAAAGATCCATCCAGTACTTGAGATAAAGCGAGAACAAACTTCAAACAGAGCCCCACCCCTATGCCCCTAGGGGGGTCATACCCACCAATTATATAAAATTGAGACCCCCTGGCCCAAGGATGCTCCAGACTAAGGATTTTAAAGATTTTACCTATATTTCTCCTATTGGGCCCTGTCCTTCTGCCCCCTGGGAGACCACACCCACTGCTTATACAAAATTGAGTTCCCTTGGCCCAGGGATGCTCCAGACTAAACTAGGATAAAATCCCGTAATCCCTATGGTAAAGGTAAAGGTTTTACCTCTATTTCCACTATTGGGCCCGACCCTCAGGTCCCACACCCACTGTTTATACAAAATTGGTTCCCCTTTACCCAAAGATGCTCCACACCAAATATGGACCAAATCCTTTCATTCCTACAGAAGAAGGATTTTAAAGAATAATTTGCTATGTTTCCCCTATTGGGCCCTGCCTCTCGGGCCCCTGGTGACCAGACCCACGGTTTATACAAAATTGGTTCCCCTTCACCCAAGGATGCTTCAGACACTATATAGACCAAATCCTTTCATTCCTACAGAAGAAGAAGGATTATAAAGAATTTGCTATGTTTCCCCTATCAGGCCCTGCCCCTCAGCCCCCAGGGGGGCCAGACTCACCGTTTATACAAAATTGGTTCCCCTTGGCCCAAGGATGCTCCACACCAAATATGGAACAAATCCTTTCATTCCTACAGAAGAAGAAGGATTATAAAGAATTTGCTATGTTTCCCCTATCAGGCCCTGCCCCTCAGCCCCCAGGGGGGGCCAGACTCAACGTTTATACAAAATTGGTTCCCCTTCACCCAAGGATGCGTCAGACACTATATAGACCAAATCCTTTCATTCCTACAGAAGAAGAAGGATTTTAAAGAATTTGCTGTTTCCGCTATCAGGCCCTGCCCCTCAGCCCCCAGGGGGGCCAGACCCACCGTTTATACAAAATTGGTTCCCCTTGGCCCAAGGATGCTCCACACCAAATATGGAACAAATTCTTTCATTTCTACAGAAGAAGAAGGATTTTAAAGAATGATTTGCTGTTTCCCCTATTGGGCCCCACCCCTCAGGCCCCTGGGGGGCCAGACCCACCCACGGTTTATACAAAATTGTTTCCCCTTCACCCAAGGATGCTTCAGACCGAATATGGAACAAATCCTTTCATTCCTACAGAAGAAGACGGATTTTAAAGAATTTGCTATATTTCCCCTATCGGGCCCCGCCTCTCAGCCCCCAGGGGGGCCAGACCCATCATTTATACCAAATTTGTTCCCCTTCCCCCAAGGATGCTCCAGGCCAAATATGGAACAAATCCTTTCATTCCTACAGTATAAGAAGGATTTTAAAGGTTTTAACTCTATTTCCCCTATTGCGCCCTGCCCCTCTGCTCCCAGGGAGGCCACACCCACCGTTTATACAAAATTGAGTTATCTTGACCTAAGGATACTCCAGACCAAATTTAGTCAAAATCTATTTGGCCGTTCAGGACTAGTAGCGTTTTAAAGGAAAAGTTGACGGACGGACGGACACTGCGGTATGGCATAAGCTCACCATGGTCCAAAGGACCATGGTGAGCTAAAAAGTTGTCAAATTACTATCATGTATGTCAACATGTTCAACGAAAACTTAATGAAATCAGTTGCACATAATTGATTCAGAGTCATTTTAATGAAAAGTATGTTGGATAGGTTCATCTCGAACAATTCAGCAGTGGCTTGGTTTTACCTCCAAATCAACAGTGATCATCCACTTTCAAGGGCCAATTGACTTTCTGCAAATATTGTTGGGGTTCCTGCAATTAATAGTTCCTTCAAGTCACAGGGGTCAACAGTTTGGAAATGTTTTTACAGAAATCACAATGCATATAGTATTGGCCATTTGGCTTGCTTTGGTGAAGAGCAGTCATATTTGTTCAAATAAATGACCTTGATGTACTATCACAGTCATAAATCAAGAAAGTTTACTTCTCATAATAAACCCAAGAGGCAAAGAGTAATGATATTTAGCCTATAGCTTGTTGGGATGAAGTGACTATCGAGCAAACTTTTGTTCAAATGACCTTGACCCATATGCAAGTTACAGGGGTTAAATGGGTTGAAATTCTTCTAATCTAATGGCTTCTAATGAAAAATGAAGCTAGCATAAGTGCTTTATAGTCTGTAAATTTCTTAGCGAGTCTGAATTCAAAACACTTCCCTATATTTATGGACCTCATGTTTGAAAGTATCCTGTCTAAATGTTATATTCTCTGTATTTAGGTCATCTGATATACCGAGGATACAGGAGCTGTTTCCAAAAGCTGTAGTAAAACACATAGACAATGCAGGGCATTGGGTACATGCAGAAAACCCACATGAATTTTTAAAAGTGGTGAAAACCTTCCTATTGGAAAACGACGAAGAAAGACCTTGTAAAGGATAACATAGATAAAAAAAATATACTTCTGAAAGTGTCAAATGTCTAAAAGGATTTAAGTACTGCAAAGTGAGATTGTGCATGCATGGATTTCTGTCCTAGTAAAAAGCATGTATCCACACCGAGTGATTTGCGCTTAAATTAGAACTTGCACTTCAACAAAGGTTTCTGTTTTAACAGTAGGGGTGAAATATATCGAGTGTGTTCATGATCACTTCCTTGTAGTGAAACAGAATATATATATTCAGGCTGAGTTTTTATGAAGATCTTATTTTTAGCGTAACTCTGATAAGGAAATTTCAGAGTTATAATATACAATATATGTAATTAATATTAATAAGTGCATTTAAGTAACCATGGAATGTCTGAAATATTTTATACACAGTCGTTTGAGTAATTTATACAAGTAATTTATACAGTCATTTAAGTAACATGTGCTACCCCGGTGATAGAAATGATCCAACTGATCGTCTAAATTCACACTGGCAGTTCTTGATGACTAATCAGGCTTTTTCCATTCAGCTCCATAAAGCTTTAACTCATTCACCCCTGAAGTTTCATAATGAACTATTCCAATCTTTGAACTTGAAGAGTTCAAATTTGTCTTGCTCTACAGGGACGAATGAGTTAAAAGGACAGCTTAGTCCTGAAATGTAAAAACCCTTCCATAAGCCTTTATATGAAGAAATAAAAAGACAAAGAATCACTCCATAAATACCTTGATGAATCTTTAAAGAGGAAAATCTTTATGATAAAGTATCGTGGTATTATATATGATGCCAGATAGTGTGATAACAGGTCTGTTAGTAGAGGTCCTAGAGGTCAACATCAAAGGAAATACATGCCCAATGTAACTGATGCCAATACATATTTATAGTAAACTATCGATAGGATGATGTCTCCACAAATTATAAATACTACCGCTTATTGCAATATGCACAGGTACATATATCTAAATATGTCTTTTTAACATATTGTTGTTTGATGTATCAACCAGAACATTGTGATAAAATGTGAAATACATGTTTATACGATTTTATCAGTGGATTATCTTTTTTATCAGAATGATCTGTTCTCTCAAAAGATTTATGAAATTGCTGGCCAATTTTGTAAAAGTAATTTTCATATTTTGTTATGCTCATTTTTTCTTAATTAATAAAGTGCTTTGTTTTATTTCATGAGTAATTTGTTTCTTTATATTATTTGCAACAAACAGATTTTTAAGAGATTTGAAATTACCAATTTTTTGGCATTTTTATTGGCACTACTGAAGTGGCCCTTGAAAACTGCAATTAATGAATAATTTAAAAGACCACCAAAAGGGGGCACATGAATAAGGCAGATAGATAGTAAGCTCGGTTATCCTGAAACCTGTTTTTGTGACATCAGTTTTGTTATGTACAAGGCCAATGTGTTGTTGTAAAGGTATGTAGAATTTGACCGCAAAGACTTTGATCTTTCACCTGCATCAATAGACACCTATGGTCCCTCCTTACAATATTCCTTCATCACGTTGTCATGAAGTGTTTGCCATTAAAAAGATACCAAACATGACCTTGATGACCTCCACCTTTGATTATTGCAAAGTGACCATACACCACCAGCCTTGACGACATTAATCTCAAACAATCTTACTTTGTAATATTATAGATGGTTTACCAATGAAAAAAACATGTATATGACCTATGTGTCCTTCATTATTGACCTTGACATTGTATCAGTTCTGCCTTGTGTGAATACCTACAGTATTGCTTTAAAATTTTGCAACAATGCTTATCATCAACAAGATATTAAATTGTAAGTCTGAACTTGACCTTACACCATCGATAAAAAAATATACCAATTGGAAGATATTAAGTTTAAAGACTTCAGACTTTTCACTGTATGACCTTTATGGAAATTATGAAGCCATCCATCTGAAGAGGATATTAAAGTTGACATCTGTGAACTTCAACATACACAGAAGTGATATTGCACAACTGGCATGGGAGGTAAGACAAATCAGAGCACAAATTTTAGAAAAATCTGTAAAATATCAATAACAAATTTTGAACCTCAAATCTAAGAGGACTTTGTTGCAGCCATATTTTCTTCTACCCACAAACAAAATTTATGTTGCACAACAAGGTGTCTGTTTGGAACAAGTGTAAACAAAATTAAAGCTGTCCAGGAAAAAAAAAAAAATAGTATGTAGCGAATTTTGAACTAATTTTTAAGTCTACTTTCTTCTGTTAAGAAATTCTAATTTCTTCTCGATTCAGCAAGTAGATGGACAGGGTCAATCACTGGCAACCTGGAAGTGTGAGTGGTTAGAGCATCTGTCTACAGCTCAGAGGTCCCAGGTTTGAACCCCAATCAGCTGGCTGTGTCTTATGTTACCGTTGTGCCTGTGACCAACACCTTTCGAGTACTTGATGCTAGCATCACCAGTGGATACCCAAACCCCGAGTTGTAAATAATGTTATATTCTGGGGCAAAAACTTAGAAAGGTTAGAGGAATGTAGTAGAACTGGACTGGGTCTAATGTCTGCGAATAGGTCTGTCTTTAGTTCAGGTGTTGTTGTCACCGATCTGGCATATAGCTACCCTCACTCTGTCATGTGATTATCGTCCTGATGTGAATTTAAGGTCGGTAAAGTGAATCAAGACACAGCCTGAACCATGCTACTGAACGTCCATAGGTTGTATACCTTGAATTTAACCTTTGATTGTCAACAAAGAGTTGCTGGCGATAGGTTATTTACAGACTTGTTAAGTATATTGACATCATTGCACTTTTCTGAATCAAACACTGAAAGACCCTTTTCTTTAATTAGTACAAGATAAATTAGCACATTAAAGACATTTCTTTTGTTGTCTAATCATTTATTTATGAATTTTAGTTTCTATATGCTATAATTGGACCAGGATAAAAATGTTTTGTGTCCCTATCACAGGATATTTTCGAATATAAATTGTAAACATAGCACACATGCCTAGAGCAAGCTTCTGTCTACAGACACTACCTGTACTTCCATCAGCCTATTCCATCTTTGCGCATTGCAGAGTTATCTTCTCTTGTGAGTAGGTATTGATTGTTACGTCATTGGTTTGTGTGAGAAAACTACATTGTTTTCTCAAAATTTGATGACATTACTCTCACAAACAAATGATGTAACAATCAATACCTGCTCACAAGAGCAGATAACTCTGCAATATGCAAAGACGGCATACTTTTAGACAGCAACAAAGGAAGTAACCCGCACCCTGAGCAGTAGAATATTAAATATGTTGTACAATAAACTAACTTTATTTGGGTGCTGAGTAATTCATGTCTTAGATATTTTCCAGTTAATTGTGAACATGAGTTTACCAAACTGTAGCAATAAATGTGCATCAAACTATTGTCATTGCAGCACAGGAGTAACGTCTGTTGACAGTTTATTCTTTAGATATTGTAAGACCTGGTGCATTGTCTCCCTTTTCTGTCCCTCTACCCACGTCATCTCCATGACAACATGGGGCGTTGAAAGCTTCACTTTTAACAAACATTTCAGGAAAATTTTCTCTTCTGTTGAATCTCCAAAAAGTTCAGAGTAACCATTCACCATTTCTTCTGCAGAATTTTTATCTGGCAATGTAGATTCAGCTTTGTTAGTAGATGAAGTAAGTAGATCACTGGTCATATTTATTTCTTGACTGTCTCCTGTTTCTGAGGTTAACATTTGACGTTTTGCTATTGGCTCCAATGTTTTTTCTGTAGTTTCTGATTTTTGATCTGGTAATTTCCTCTTCCTGCCCTTCTCAGCTGATGGCCTGTTGTCTTTTCCTAGTATACTGTCCTCAAACTGTGATTGCGTTGAATTTGAACTCTGAGTAACACTTTCTTTCTTATACTCTGATTCTGCACACAAGTTCTGTGCATCTTGTTTTTTATTTGTCTTTTCCCCACAGGGTGATTCTTTCTCTACATCTTCTCTGGAAACTTTAAAAGGGATTCCTTTACTCACTTCAATAACTCGTCCACAAGAGATTGTTTGTGGTTTCATTGCTGCATCAGAATGATGAATTTCTTCACACTGAGACTTCTCCTGCATTTGTCTTGAGGCATCACCTGATTCATCGTTCAATTTTTCATCAAGAATATCTACATCTCCAGAGCAATCCTTCTGTTCCTTAGCCTTTTGCTGTAACTTCTCTCGACGTTTTCGTCTCTGATTGGACCATGTATTTTCTTTGGCAACCAATGCCATGGTTACTAGCGACTTTTGGTTCAATGTGATGTTGTACTGGATCTGTAAATGAAAACGGTCATTATTTTACCACTGCAGGAATTTATCAGTAGACCTACTGCCCCAGGCTATGAAAATTATTGCAGGGCTATAATTGTTTATTTGTTTAATTGTAAACATGCATAAAAACGGACTTAGGGAAACCTACATGACAAATTTGAGAAAGATCCCTCCAGTATTTCCTGAGAAATAGTGATAACAAACATTCACTGTCAAAATAACTGACCTTACCGTCAAAATACAAGATGGCCACCTGTCGGCCATTTGTTATTCGAGCAGTCTCAAAAGTAAACATATTCAACTGCAAACCAGAGGAATCTACATATCAAATTTGAAAAAGATCCCTACAGCGCTTTCTGAGATATAGCAATAAGAAGAATTGACGACGGACCACGGATGAAGGACGATTTGAATTTGAATTTGATGGTGGGCTACAAAAATATAGTAATTCAACAATGACGTTATATTGATTTAAAACAATTTCTAAACTCTCAAATTGTTTAACATTAAACTTCCACATCAATCAAAAGTAATTCAAAACAAAAATATTTAAATCATGATATAATACATTTAAACTAGACTTCATTTCTTAAGTGTTCTCCTTTGACTGTACATCTAAACTATTATTTTGCCATGCTAACTACATAACAGAACCTGCTATTACCAATATACAACAATTACCAGCTAAGGATTGAGGACTGAACTTAAAACATGAAATTCTAATGATCGACCTGACCAGAAATGTATTCAGTCTTGGCCAGCTTTAAGTAAATGTATACTGATTATTCCAATCAACATTCATTTGGAAGTACAGTCGTCTACAGAGCACAACGTGTTTTGATGTGTTTTGTACTGACCTTGACCTGTGACATCAGCTATTTTATCTTTAACTGTGATACTACATACCTTGCACATTTAATGGTGGACACATAAATGGAACTGTTCTATGAAAGAATTATTGTTACCGGCAGACTGTCTCTACAGCATTAGTTTTGAGTTACCAGCAGACTGTCTCTGCAGCATTAGTTTTGAGTTACCAGCAGACCGTCTCTGCAGCATTAGTTTTGAGTTACCAGCAGACTGTCTCAGCATTAGTCTTGAGTTAAGGCATATACTAAGCTGTGACAGCACTGACTAAAATACAGGAATGCAAAGACCTTAAGTTGTGACACCACTGGCATTAATAAAGGCAACTTTGCTATCAGTAATAACCTTTAGATGGAAGTAAAAACCATGAATGTTTTGATAGCTCTGACATCCTAGTTTTTCTGATAATTGTTTCTGACCTTGACCTGTACTGACCTTAAGCTCGGTAAGCTGTGCCTGTATCCTGGTGGTGATGTGTGTGACATTGTAGTCCAGGTCGGTTACAGCGCGGGGGACCTGGTACACCAGTTTAGGGCGCTCCTTTTTGGATTCTTGGAACAGGGACTTCTGTTGTGCCAAAACATACAGTATTACTAAACAGTGGTTTGTTTTTTATTTGTATTAATTAGTAAGACCACAATGTATCAATGGTGAAATAAATATACGGTAATATTTTGCCTCTGCAAAATGTATTATCTTAAATAACCACTAACGTTTTTTTCTGTTTTAGGGGTTGCATTTCAAAGTAGTTTTTAAACTGTCCAGCCAAAACAAAAAGGGATATAATTTTAACCCTTTTTTATCGATTGTTTAATAATTACAAATGGGTATAGAGAAGTTTTGCATAAAATCTAGTAGATGTATTCTTGATTATTTCATTAGAATTTGATATATCCCAAACCGCAAACAAGTATATTTCTATTGTTTTACAACACTTCTCTAACAATACTTCAGGAGCAAATTTTAAAAGTGCTCAATTAAAATCATGATAACCATTAAATTTATAATCAGTGTATTTCTGAACGATAGTGCTAAACTCATGTAAGTTATTATGTTTACAGCATTTTATTAAGTTATACATAGTCTCATTGTGTATAATTAACCTATCAGCAAAAACACCTCAAACTACATAATTATACCAATAATTAATTGACATGCATAAAGTTTGGGTCAAAGTCTGTAATTTTATTTACCGGAAAATTGACAGTTTTGTCGAATGTCCATGCGAGTCCCCATCTCATGGTCTTCCCCTGGCAGAACTCTGTTGTGGAGAACTTAGGAACCTGGAATCAAATACAGCAACATTATCACCTGAGGAATTAGAAAATTTAATAAAGCTAAATGGAAATAGTTGTAACTTTAATAAGTTCTATACTTGACACTCAACCTTAAAGCCTACAAGACTAGTATCAGCTGTTCTAGGAGCTAAATGAACTTGTATCTAAAAATATAATGTCTACTTGCATCTGTGTGCTAACTTTCTTTACTGTGTCAATTTGTCAGTGTCTAAAATTTTCAATGGAAATCTTGAATTTTCTATCAGTATACCGGGTATATCCATTTACAATGTTCACAGCAACAAAATAGTGAAATGTCATTTTATCTGTGAACTTTATACTGTTTAGTTGTTGTGGCTGTTTGTCTTCATAGCATTGAATCTTCACCGTAACGGTGCTGTACTTTTTCCGTATGTTAATATTTGAATTCTCAGTGTCTGCAGTATATTGAAATCCCATTGTATTTTATCAGTGCTCTGACTGTTTATTGTTCTAGTATTTTGGATTTTTAATCAATTTGTTGAGTTTTCACTTACCAGGTAAGTTAATTGTTTTTTCAATAAACCTGAATTTTGTTGAATTCTCACCGTTCGTATGTTGATGTTAATTTGTTATTTCTTATGTGTCAATATTTTGAATGTTCACTAATTTAGTGTCCAAAATTTCCCCTTATTTACACCATGGACAAAAGAAGAACAGGAAAAAATGCATTTTAAAGCTACATATTTAAGAATCAATGCATCAAATAAATATTTCCATGCTGTGTCATATATATTCTTATTTACAAATGTGTTTCTTATTTTATACCTGTAATTAATACTGTATCATAATAATAATGTCCTAACCATTGTTTAATTTTACCTCAAGTCTACGTAGCTCTTCTTTCAGTGGAGGTAAAGAACTCTTCTTACCAATCATACTGGAGTAGATTCTAAAACAAAACATAACATACTGTAAATTCAGTTATTCGAATCAAATTTAAATAACTTCCTAGTTATCTGAATCAGTTAACTCAGTTTTTTTTTTTTACATTACTCAAGAAATATTTGAATTTTGTTCCAAAAAGACAACAGGGTCAAAAAGAAAAAGATATAGAAATACAAAAATATGAGAAAAAAATTATGCAAATCACTCGCATACCTGCCAAGTGACCCAATTTCGTTGGGTTACACCCGGGATTTTAGCCTTTCACCCGCTTTTATAACTTCATCCGCCGGGTTACGATTTTGACCCGGATTTCGTCAATTTCACTCGTTTTCACCCGGAATCTTTTCGTATATAAGAAGTTACCAAAGTCACTCGGAATTCTCTAGACTTTTCCATCCTTCTTCATAAGAAAGACGATCTATTTTTTGTTTTCGTTTCTCACCAACAGGTAAGTTGCGAGTTGTTTATATACGTACTAGAACGGGTTTTCCAAATGTTTATACAAATACCGTTGTTACTGAACTTGCTGGCAACTCATTAGTCAGGTGTTTTAACAAATAATAGAGTTGTTTTTACAATTGTATTTACGTAGAATAGATCGTATTTTGAAGGTAACATTATGTCTTCTTGAAGAAAGAAGTCATTATCGGGACTTGTGGCTCGGGACTTGCATATACGTCTCTGACTATAGTATACACGAAATGCTAAAAGAAAAGATAATTGTTCACATATCGTAGGAAAATGAGTTTTAGTGTATAAAGTCCTGCGGTCATGGACCAAACGCTTCATTCTGCACTCTAGTCTTTGTAAATCGCATATTTCAGTTTGATCTGGTGCTTAAAACGACGTTACTAAGACATTCAAAAACATGCACAGGCATTTAATGATTTGTTTTTGTCAATCAAAATTATCCTAACAATAAGAGTTCAAACCCTACTCGTATAAAACTGATATTTTATATGTGTAGGGTACAACTTATTGTCAGGACCATTTTCATTGACAGAAACAAAATGGTATTTTATATGAGCAGAATGTGATATGTTATTCTCAGGACCATTTTAATTGACATAAAAAATGCCTGTGGAAACACAGTATTATATATATTATTATGAATTAATTTCATAAGTTGTGTTGTTGACAAACCTTTTTATTTTTCAGCTTTGAATTTATGTATTGTGGATGAGGATTAGCCAGATCTGCTGGAAGAACAGTTCAATAAATGTAGAATGTAACTTAACATCATTAAAATATTTAAGTTCTAATTTAATATCTCTTTTTTTTATATTTGTTGTGAAAAAAGCTGTCGCGCACTATGACCCTCTTTTTTATTTCCAAAAGAGGGTCATCACCCTCTTTTAGTATGTCCGGGGTTGGCAGGTATGCACTCGTTATGAAGATTTCACGCTGCAATGGCCGTATCAATCAAACTTTGCATTATTGTCAGACAATTATTTAACTCAAAGTTTTTGCAGAGGATGAAAAATTTACTGTAGAGAATATCACTAGAATAATTTGAACTACCTGAAATACACTGTAAAAACTATTCCTACTGTTCTATAATTCCACAATGAAACTAATTGTAAATGAAAATTCATAATTATCTCCCTTCTGAAATTAATCATAAAATAATTCATCTCATGAAAAGAGATTTACAAAACAATAATACCTTATTTTGGTTCCAAGTTCCATTGAATCCTTTATCATCCTCTTGACGAAGTTGACCTCACCGCCCTCCACGATACTCTCGGTGAAGCTGGCAGTACACACAGACTTGGGGTCAGTTCGGCTGTAGTTACGAGACTTGGCGACAGCCTGGGCCTCCACATGGTCAGCAAAGAAGGGGGGATTACACATACAAAAGTCAAACGTGTCTGTTTCATCCTTGAGTAAATTACACAGAACGCTTCTATCATCAACACTTACTTTCTTCACTGCAAATAAAATGTCCCTTTATGATATACATGTATATGCTATGCTGCTGAGACAAGTGCCTTCTTGACTAAAAGTGCTAAAAACTTAAAGGTAAAAAAAAACATTTTAAATAATAATTATCTGAAAGGTTCACAAGAATGAATGCATTGATGAGGTCATTTTGAATTATTACATCATACTTATTTAATATGAAATAATTAAGGATATATGCTACCAACTGAAGTTCCTATAGACAAGTATGAAAACCGTTACAATATCATATGAAAGTGAAAGCATGCCATCTTCCGCAAACTGTAAAATATTGCAAGCCATCAGAGATCATAAAAGTGTGAAAGCTGTACAACATTATCTATCTTACCTGTTATTCTTTCCTTCATTCCATTAGTTTCTATGTTCTTTAGTGTATACATGAAATTTTTATCATCCAGCTCACTGGCCACGAATGTCCATTCTTTGTGTAGTTTACAGGACAGCAGGGGGTATATACAGCTAGAACCAGTACCTGAAACAATAAACCAGCTCACTCTCAAACAGTTTACAGGACAGCAGGGGGTATATACAGCTAGACCCAGTCCCTAAAACAATAAACCAGCTCACTCTCAGACAGTTTAAAGGACAGCAGGGGGTATCTACAGCTAGAACCAGTACCTAAAACAATAAACCAGCTCACTCTCAGACAGTTTAAAGGACAGCAGGGGGTATCTACAGCTAGAACCAGTACCTAAAACAATAAACCATCTCACTCTCAGACAGTTTACAGGACAGCAGGGGGTATATACAGCTAGAACCAGTACCTGAAACAATAAACCAGCTCAAACTCAGACAGTTTACAGGACAGCAGGGGGTATATACAGCTAGAACCAGTACCTAAAACAATAAACCAGCTCAAACTCAGACAATGTTAAATTATGATGCATTACATTTTAATATAATAAACTTTATTTGACAACAATTATGAAACATTTTATTCCAACGTATACATGCATGAAATTGCTGTTATTGGCCCAGATCGCAGGGGGTCTTAATATGATAATAATTAATAATTTCAAATAATTATTTCTTCGATCGATTCTAAAGAATTGTTATCGTATCATATCAGAGACACATGTCAGCGATGTCATCTTCAACATTTAAAAAGTAAACTTTTTCTATCTACATGATTATCCAAAACAATATTGCAATGGCCATCTGCTACCAGTTCAGGATCAGAAGAAAGGTTGACCTCCTGTGTATCCCACTATTATCATAAACCAGGGAAATAATCTGGGCTATACTTATATTTCAGTGGATAATGAAAAGACCAAAATATGTTATACCAACTGCAGAATTTATTTAATGACTTTTCTACCCTATACTTTTAACTTTTATGATTCTGTCTCATTTTGCACACCTATAGCTACTGTTTACTTATTTTCTATTGTGTGGCCCTGTATGACCTAATATTTCCCTTAAATAAATCTTACTGCTTCAAATGGACTTGTACAGGGTTCTGCTTTGTCTGAAAATTGTTTGGATAATGGAAATTAAATTACAGCAAATGAAGATTTGAAGGCCTGTCATGTTCTTAATGTGAAAACAAATACCTACCTACATCTATGCCTTTTACAAGTTTCCCAGTCCTTGATGCCGTGAAAACATCCTCCAGCCAGTGTATGTAATTCAGACGAAGTGGCACTGTAGGAACAAGTCTATCTAACGGAAGCTCCAATTTTAAGCCAAAGTCATCTTCAAGCAAGGTTATAGTAAGCTGTCTCAAGGAATCAGGATGCTTGAAGTCCAGAAACAGTTTTCCTGTAACATCAGGAAACACAAACTTCCTGAAATCGGGATATTTAAGAGCTAATTCTTGAAAGTTTGGCTTTTTATTTTTGTAAAGATTCCTTGGGTGCATGAACTTATTTAAAGCCATAGTGAAATGCTGCTTGTCACTTCGACACTGTGATTTTCAGTGATCTGTAAAATAAAAAAAATATATGTTCACTCATGCATTTTGAATGTAAATTGAAATATCGGCAACCTGTATAAAAGTGATCCTTTATTGGCTGTCTATTATGGCAATCTGTATAAATCAAACTTTCAGCTTGTTCCCTCTCAAAATTCCTACCCAGACAGATCAATCATGTCATTCTGTTAAGTTTCTGTATGTATTTGGGCAGGTGAGCTAAAAAACTGTATCATTCAATTTAAAACAGCATTGCCATTTTATGATATTCTATTATCTTCATTTTCATCTCATCACAAAAGATTTGGTGGATATTGGTAGGTACAATGTAACTCAGTAAGTATTAAAATAACTTGTTCCTCTAGATTTTGTAAAAACTATGTGGAACTAGACCTGGATTCGAACGATGGACTTGGGATAGTTATTTGTTAATAATATTGTTATATTATCTCTCTTTAAACCAGGGACATATAAAGTCTGAGATTGGTACGTCTCAGCTCTAACTGACTAAGCTACCTGCAGGTGAACGAAAGTGCCCAGTGGACCACCGAATTACCTAATCTAAGTCAGTGCCTGGACCAACTTTGCTACATTAGTACAGTGATATCCAACAGAAGTTAAAGGGGGGGGGGGGGGGGGTTATTGTATATATAAGAAAAACCAAAGTACTGAGTAGAGTGGGACGGGGAAAGAAAAATATACAGCACATACAAATTAAGTGTATTATCTTGGTGAATAGCTCCAAATAGCTTCAAGAGAAACAACTCTTATCAAACATTTTACACAAACATATTTCAAATGTTGACACATTTAATTGTGACCATGCTGCCCATTTGTTGATGGTTGATTGTTGGTGGCCCCCTCCCAACAAATTAAGCTAATTATAAGTGACTTTGCAGTTATAGTAACAGTGTGGGGGATGTTAAATCAAACAGAACCAGAATCACTAGCAGACTCAAAATGTTGATGGGACACCAACTTCAAACTGTCCTATACCACATGTGGGTGCATGTGTTTCCAACACATTTGATTTTATACAGGTTCATACAGTAGTAACTCTAAATGACATTTCGTTTAGACAGAAACAGACTATTCAAATATTACCAAAAAATATCTGTTGTTGGTTGTCACGGGCGATGTCTTCTTAGATTCTACTTAATAACCCAATCGTGTGACTATTTAGGCGAAGACAACGTAAGTTAAACGAATATTGGCGCAGACTTTGAAACAACGTCCACATCTCGCGATATTTGTTTACGACATGACTTCCGGATGAGGTAATGAGCATGCGCAGTTAATCATTCTCGGGTGAAATTTACGTGTGGAGTCCTGCCAAAGAGGGCATTTTCGACGATTTCTGACAATTTTGCAGATATATTTCAAGTGTTTATAAATGGTAAATGGTTTACAGTATCCAAAAATGTAGCTGATTATACGATTTTGATCGATATAACTCAAAATTGATGTTTTCCTCATGCCTCTACTTTACAGATATGGCGGGGTGACATTTCAGTGTCTGCAAAAATTATCATTCATTAGCTGAAATTTTACAATGAATCGATTTATCTCAATTCGCACTCCTATAGAAGAATATACATTGAATATGCTCATCTGATAACGTTGTCATCCTGTGGAGAATCGCGAAACACGGAAAACGTATTTTCATGATATTTTCCATACATTACTGGCCCCTGATGCACTTGAATCTTGACATCTGTCAGTGTCATTCGCCACCATGCTATTCATGTGTTATGATGTATTTCCTTTTCAAACCATACTGTATTATTTTCAATTAAACATCATGCTATGCTTCAATTACCATAGTGATGACTCTAACCTTGAAAGTTGCACTGACCCTCGAGCTCCTTGTTATCAATGTATCCATCCATCATTTTGCTCTGTTCCAAATAGGTCTAAGTTTATTTTATTTGTGAACCCATCACACATGCTTCATTGTTAAACTTTTCTGCCTGAAATTAAAAATGTAAGTGAAATTTCACATGTTATTCTGAAACTCTGGACAAGTAAGTTAAAAATATTACCACTGCCATCGATAAAATATAGGGGCAGATAACTGGGTCCAGTTTGAGATCTTGTTGGGTAAAAAAATGAAAGGGGACAGGCCTAGGGACAGCTGCTAAACACTTATGACACCACTCTGAGTGTACTTTCTTGTTTGGGTGTTCATAATATTAATACCCGGCCTCCTCTGTCCCACTCCATGTAATTAATGGAGCAAGCCCGATGTGAATCACACCGGGGTAATTATTTATTGACAGCACATTGGTCCGCATCCATAAATAGGTCTGTAGTATTAACTATTTCTGTTTAGAACTTTAAGTTAAACTCCGCCTAAAATGTCATTTAATTATCAAGTTCTGACGTAGCAAGTGCAATTGAAATCTGAATTGACCGCCATGTTGGAAAGTTTGTCTCTTCCCATATAGGTCGAACGTCTATATGGTGTTATGACCCAATATGTCGTTTATTACAAAGGGAATCTTAACTTATCTATTAATATTGCTAAGATTAACCCCAAAATGGAAATAACACTGGATAACAGTGTTTACACATACATGTACATAAAGAGGTTACTTTAGAAAGAGTTGGATTGAGAATTTGTGAAGATTTTTTTAGCCCTTACATTATATAATGACATTTATGTATGTCTGACTTCAGATGAAGTTTTTCGTATAAAAAGGTAAAAGAAAGAGATACTCACTACCTAATAGAGACACATCAATGAATTTTGTAGATACTGGTACATATATATATATATATATATATATATGTAAAATTTTAATTTCCTGTCATGTTTGTTAATTTCATTTATCAGCATGCACATTCATCTTCAAGAATTAAAATATTCATGATACGAGATAAAAATATAAAGTTAAATTATAGGAATTATTTGAGATATTTCAAAAATCTAAAAATAAAAAGTATGCTATCAGTTATTTTTTTAAAGCTTTTTCAGGTGAGTTCTGAACGTCATTTTAAAAATGTTAATGAATCCCATCGCTCCAATACTGATGGGTTTTCAAATATTAGGACATATGCATGCAGTCCCTCAGGAAAATCATGCATGAGCCCAATTAATGTTCTAAAGTTGCATCAAAGCTGAAGATTCATGTTGAGAGATAAAAGAATTTTATCATAGAATCTTTTTGGAATATAGTTTATCAGGGGAAGGTAAACAAACATTTCTGTTTTGGCTTGCAGTTGGGATACTGTGTGTATCTATATATATATATGGGGCAAAGAAGTAATTCCAACAGTGTGGACAAGTTTAGGTTGTCAAATTTTCGGAGCGATCCGCTCTACGTTTGGGGCTTCCTGTGTAGAATATGTCCTTTGATATTGATCTTCGATTCTTCATTCATTGTTTTAACATTCTATATGTATGATTTTTATTGTAAAGAAAAAACTCATTGTTTCACTTTTGTTTTTCAGACTTGCTACAAAATGAATTAAACAGTTGTCTGGGACCTGCCTCCAGTTGGTTTACCTTGACACTTAAACAGTGAAGTGTTTGGTGCATCCAAAATTTCAAAATGGTTTTATCTCAACGACAGAGAGAAGAGCTGTAAGTTAACATTCAACAATTGATATTAAAATTTGACAGAAATGTCTAAAACTTGCAATTCTTTTTAAAAAAATGATGTAAATGATCATTCAGTCAAAAGGGAAATATGAAACTTAATTAAGATACAGGCGTGTATTGTTTAATGAAAACATAGGGCATGTAGTTATCTTCTCTTTTTTCCCAAATCTGCCTGGAGTCAAGAATTCAGAAAATTGATACTGGATTCCTCCTGAGATAAAATAAATCTGTTCTGGTATCAAATATGGTTGTAATCAGTTTTAAGTGTTTTAATGACCAATTTAACACAACAAAGCCAGTGGGTCTGACATATGCATATATAATTAATACAGTTATTCAACGCTTGCTCTATTATTAAAATTTCATTTAAAAAATATTTATTTTCAAACAGAAATCGTGCAATAGCTGACTACCTTAGTTCCAATGGCTATATTAGTGCTCTTGGCGAATTCCAGAAGGAGGCCTCCATGGTAAGTTCTTCAACATTAACAAAACAACCTAAATGGTCTACTTCAAGCACAGACACTTTTGTCCAAAACTATGATTACTTGTATGAAGATGTTCCCAGCAACAGAAATAGAAAAACCAAAATTAAACAAAAACCTGATCTCTTGTTAATAGCTCCTTAGTAATGAAAACTTGATTAGGTGCACAGCTTTTTCATATATATTTTTCATACCAATATTGTTAACACGCCTTCATATTAAAGATTTGTTATATGTATTTACGATGACATCAATATAAAACAATTAATTAATTATGTCAATTAACTCTAGAAATTAATCCATTTACTTCTGAAAAATATCAATATAGTTGCAAGGTCAGTCATGCATGTATAATGTTGTAATCAATTATCATTAATGTTGATTTTTATTTTACTGAAAAAATGAAAGGCACAACTTTCTTCTGCCATTCTGTTTTCTATTGGTTCTTTCCCAATCTCCAATCAAAGTCCAAATTTACTTTATATGGGGGAAAAAATCTATAGAAATGAGGGTGATGCATGCAAAACTAAAGGAATGCTGTACATATTGAAAGCTCTATTGTATAAGGATTTATCTAGACTCCCAATAAAATTGATATCATTTATGCATTACATGTACATGGTGATGTATATTTTCAAATTGTCTAATTTCAGCAAGGAGAAATAGACAAAAAGTATGCTGGCCTCTTAGAAAAGAAATGGACATCTGTCATCAGGCTTCAGAAAAAGGTACAGGTGTTAAAAGGGAAAATTATCTTAGATTTCAAATTCTGCTTCTATTGATCAAAACCCAAATGTCTTAGAATCAATAGAATCAACAAATATGGCTGTTAGGGCTCTTATATAGGCTTCCTGTATATTTCAAGGTGGCTACTGGAATAATGGTCAATAAACTTGCTTGAAAATTGCTTAAATTTATTAGATATTTATTTTTCTGCCATACTTGAAAATCTAAAAGGAAGCAACAGTCGCAACAGGAAAATTTGACAATGCAAACTATTTCAGTTTAATTACTCTATTAAATATATTGACAGCAAAAAACCCACATGTATCTTACTTTATTTATAAATTCATTGTTGTCCATTCTGATGTTAAGTTGATGATTTATTTTAGGTCATGGACCTTGAAGCCAAACTTTCGGAGGCAGAAAAAGAATTCAACTCTGGGGGTCCCACTCGTGACCGCAGAAGTCCGTCAGAGTGGATACCCCGCCCTCCAGAGAAGTACACCCTCAGTGGACACAGGAGCCCCGTCACACGGGTTATATTTCACCCAAAATTTAGTATAATGGTTTCCTCAAGTGAAGATGCTACCATAAAGGTATGAACTTGACTCTGAATTTTTCTGTTTTTTGTCCCCTACTGGTGTAACCAAAGGATTTGTTCAGACAATGTTTTAAATGATTGATCATTTCAGTGCATTTTTTAGGAGCAATGAAAAATGTTTATTGTTTATTTGTTAGCTTATGCCGTGGCGTCCGTCGTCCATACGTCAACAATTTCTTTAAACGACTTCTCCTTCTTAACCACTGATTGGAATTTGACTAAAATTGACTAAAATCATCCCTAGGTGGTGAGGATTCAAAATTATACAAATGGTGCGGCTGAGGGGCGGGGACAGTCTGGCTATATTGCTATAAACAAGTTCTTCTGTAGAACTATGCACTCATATTTGGTCAGAAGCATTCATGGGAGGTGGGGATTCACAATTGTACAAATAGTGGGGCTGACCTCTAAGGCTAAGGGCTGTGGTCAAAAATAGTTGGAAATGGTTGATATCCCCACCCTATAACCATATATACAATTTCTGAGTATAAAGAGAAGATTCACATATGCTTCCAGGATAGCTCCGGGGTCTGGCTCCATCCTTAGAGACTTAACCCCTGGGTCATATCTTCGAAATGGTTGAGATCCCCACCCCAAAACTATATATACAATTGTTGTGCATAAAGAGACAAATGCAGTCATGATATTAGAATTGACCCCGGGATCTGCCCCACCCTTGCAAACTTAACCCCTGGTCGTAACTTTGAAACTGTTGAGATCCCCACCTCAAAGCTATATATACAAATGCTGGGCAGAAAGAGACGAATGCAGTCATGATATTAGAATTGACCTTGGAGTTTGGCCACAACCCGAGGGACCTGGTTTCTTAGTCACAGCTTGGAAACAGTTGAGATCCCCACCCCATAACCACACATAAACTTGCTGTCCATGAACAATCTAATACAGATATGCTACAAGGATTGGCCTTGGCATATTCCCTTGTCTCTTATTAGGAGAATATTTTGCCATGATTGCGTAGATATCCAGATGGGCGATACAGGCCATCTGGGCCTCTTGTGCTTGTTTTGTCATTCTGAGCCTGTATTCAGATGTCAATGCAACGACAACTTAAAAAAAGAAATAATCTATCATAAATGAGGACTTTTTAGTCTTTTAGATGAATTTGATTTTTTTTTTTTGTAGTTATGGGATTATGAAACTGGTGACTATGAAAGGACCCTCAAAGGACACACCGACTCTGTACAGGATATAGCTTTTGATCAAGCAGGCAAATCTCTGGGTAACTTTCATCTGAATTTATGTTACGTATCTGGAAGTTGTTTCAGATCATTCAAACAAATTTTATGAATGGTTGTGAAATATAATAATAATATACAGCATTTAATATAGCGCTCTATCTATCTAGAATAAGCCACTTTAAAGCGCTTTACAATTATTTATACAATTTATACAATCAATACAATTAGCATATATTATACATTAATCAATACAAATATGCTCAAATTACTGCATTACTTTCAATTCCCTAATTAATGTTATGATTTATTTTCAGTTTCGTGTTCAGCTGATATGTCTATAAGACTTTGGGACTTTACTGGATCATACGAATGTCTGAAGACCATGCATGGTAACTGTATCAAAATTTTTAGTCAGATACGAGTATACATTTTTCCAAACGGTTGTTTAGATAAATATAAAATTGAATTGTTCCAAAAGATTATTAATGCTTTGTTTTGTAATCTTATGTAACAGTGGCTGTTCAGTTATATACTGTTAGAGTTATTCCCCTTGCAGTGTGTTACATGTAACATCTGATGTCGCCACTGAGCGATAGTCACCTATATAGAATATCAAATCCTCTCCGGCATCTGTAATCAACCAATCAACACCTTAATTTGTGAACATAATGCATTATAAACATTACTGACGTTAGATGCAAGCTAGCAAAGGTAATTATTCAGGCAAGTTGGGTAACAAACTGCTCTTACCTATATATGAAAACTGGTTGTCACAGGCATCGAACAGGTTGATTTATACCATTGATTTGTCATAGAAGGACATCTGACGAAGAAAACCTAAAGCTGAAGATTGCTTTTGAGAGATAAAGTATTTTTAGAAATTGAATGAATAAATTTGTGCAAATTTTTCAGGTCATGACCACAATGTTTCGAGTGTGACTTTCATGCCAAGTGGAGATAACATTATTTCGTGTTCACGTGACAAGACCATAAAGATGTGGGAAGTTTCCACTGGGTAAGTACTCCCTCTATCTCTCCAGCATTAACACAAACTTTGTGTTCAGATGAATTTCTGTACTTCGTTAAGATGAACAAACAAGTAACTATTACCTACTTTCAAGGTCACAGGTGTCAATTGTGTTATAAACTTTGGACAACTTCATAGTGCAAAATTATTTATCCTAATGTTGTTGGTGAAGAGAGCTATTAAATTTTAACAAATTTCCTAGAACTACTTTCAAGATCACATGTAGGGTAAGTTAACAAACCTATAACAACTTCTACAGTAATATTGTAGATTTGAGATGTTTAACCGCAGATGTGTTTTAAATACTGAACACTTGAACATATTTTGTGTGAAACAAATGGTAAATTCTTTTGATTAACAGATATTGTGTGAAGACTTACACAGGCCACCGTGAGTGGGTACGTATGGCCAGGGTGTACCACGACGGCTCGCTGATCGCCAGCTGCTCTAACGACCAGACAGTTCGTGTCTGGGTTACAGCCACCAAGGAGTGCAAAGCTGAACTGAGAGAGCACGAACATGTTGTTGAGTGTATTGCCTGGGCACCTGAGTCTGCGCACCCCGCCATTAATGAGGCAAACGGTGTAGATGTAAGTACAGAAAGCATCCAGAGCAATTTGATTAGATGCATATAGAATTTAAAAATTCACCAGAATGATTACAAGTTAAATGCTGATACAATTTGAATGCTCCTCACATTTTTTTAAGTTAAACATCTGGATATTGTATTAAAAAATCATGGTCAAAGAATATTGCACTGATTAAGTATATGATAAATGATAAGATCAAGTATTTGAGAAATCTATAGAAGAATGATTCATCTTAGAGTACCATGTTGGAGTAGTGGGAAACAATATTACATGTACCAATAAAACAATTTAAGAATCTGAAATACCCAACCACTCCTGCATTTCATTTAATGGTCACCTTCTCTACCCTACATGTACATTCGATTATGAAATACTTACCTGTACAATCAATTAGTGAATATCCACCATCATAGAGTAATACTAAAAATGATGAAATATGACATGTTTTTTTACACAAATATCAATAAGTGGTCATTTGTGATGTTGATGCAGGTAAAGAAAACTGGAAGAAGCGGCCCGTACCTGGCCTCAGGATCACGTGACAAGACCATCAAGATTTGGGACATTAGCACAGGGCTATGTCTCTTCACACTGGTAGGGGTTTCAATGCTAGTGATTAGTCAAGGGTGTATAACTATGATGTATACCTTGATCAATCTATACACTGTCTTGGAAAAATCTTACTTTCACTTCTGGTCTCGAAAAAACATGAATCCTTGCCTCAATTTTTTTAAATTAATTTTTTAAGAAAAAAAAAAAAATATAAATAAATATGTTGCAACTTTCAATTTCAAGAAGTCTTCAGAAAGCTAAGATTGGATGAGAGTTTTACATTGTGTACCTATCCTACAACGTGACAGTCTTACAACTTTTAGTTTTGATTTCTTGTCTTGAAAAAGGCTTTTAAAACCATGTATTTCTTATACAAGCAATGCTCACCTCACAACCTTTATAATGTCACTGTAACCTGAACATTTTGACACATTCCATCAGTATTTTATTGAATATGAAAATTTATAAGTTTTGTTGGCTGAAAATTTGGGAAAGAAAATGATAATACTTTTTTTTAAGTTTTTTGAAAATTGCAGGAAAAGGTGCTACATTTGTTTGTTGTTAGTTATTCTTTGTAACTGTTTAACCTGTAAAATACCTGACTATACAGGTGGGCCATGACAACTGGGTCAGGGGAATCCTGTTCCATATAGGAGGCAAATATATGCTGAGTGCATCAGATGACAAGAGCCTGAGGATCTGGGATATCAAAAACAAAAGGAACCAGAAGACTCTAGATGCCCATCAACACTTTGTAACATCACTAGGTAAGGATCTTCTATTGTCCATCAACACTTTGTAACATCACTAGGTAAGGATCTTCTATTGCCCATCAACACTTTGTAACATCACTAGGTAAGGATCTTCTATTGCCCATCAACACTTTGTAACATCACTAGGTAAGGATCTTCTATTGCCCATCAACACTTTGTAACATCACTAGGTAAGGATCTTCTATTGCCCATCAACACTTTGTAACATCACTAGGTAAGGATCTTCTATTGCCCATCAACACTTTGTAACATCACTAGGTAAGGATCTTCTATTGCCCATCAACACTTTGTAACATCACTAGGTAAGGATCTTCTATTGCCCATCAACACTTTGTAACATCACTAGGTAAGGATCTTCTATTGCCCATCAACACTTTGTAACATCACTAGGTAAGGATCTTCTATTGCCCATCAACACTTTGTAACATCACTAGGTAAGGATCTTCTATTGCCCATCAACACTTTGTAACATCACTAGGTAAGGATCTTCTATTGCCCATCAACACTTTGTAACATCACTAGGTAAGGATCTTCTATTGCCCATCAACACTTTGTAACATCACTAGGTAAGGATCTTCTATTGCCCATCAACACTTTGTAACATCACTAGGTAAGGATCTTCTATTGCCCATCAACACTTTGTAACATCACTAGGTAAGGATCTTCTATTGCCCATCAACACTTTGTAACATCACTAGGTAAGGATCTTCTATTGCCCATCAACACTTTGTAACATCACTAGGTAAGGATCTTCTATTGCCCATCAACACTTTGTAACATCACTAGGTAAGGATCTTCTATTGCCCATCAACACTTTGTAACATCACTAGGTAAGGATCTTCTATTGCCCATCAACACTTTGTAACATCACTAGGTAAGGATCTTCTATTGCCCATCAACACTTTGTAACATCACTAGGTAAGGATCTTCTATTGCCCATCAACACTTTGTAACATCACTAGGTAAGGATCTTCTATTGCCCATCAACACTTTGTAACATCACTAGGTAAGGATCTTCTATTGCCCATCAACACTTTGTAACATCACTAGGTAAGGATCTTCTATTGCCCATCAACACTTTGTAACATCACTAGGTAAGGATCTTCTATTGCCCATCAACACTTTGTAACATCACTAGGTAAGGATCTTCTATTGCCCATCAACACTTTGTAACATCACTAGGTAAGGATCTTCTATTGCCCATCAACACTTTGTAACATCACTAGGTAAGGATCTTCTATTGCCCATCAACACTTTGTAACATCACTAGGTAAGGATCTTCTATTGCCCATCAACACTTTGTAACATCACTAGGTAAGGATCTTCTATTGCCCATCAACACTTTGTAACATCACTAGGTAAGGATCTTCTATTGCCCATCAACACTTTGTAACATCACTAGGTAAGGATCTTCTATTGCCCATCAACACTTTGTAACATCACTAGGTAAGGATCTTCTATTGCCCATCAACACTTTGTAACATCACTAGGTAAGGATCTTCTATTGCCCATCAACACTTTGTAACATCACTAGGTAAGGATCTTCTATTGCCCATCAACACTTTGTAACATCACTAGGTAAGGATCTTCTATTGCCCATCAACACTTTGTAACATCACTAGGTAAGGATCTTCTATTGCCCATCAACACTTTGTAACATCACTAGGTAAGGATCTTCTATTGCCCATCAACACTTTGTAACATCACTAGGTAAGGATCTTCTATTGCCCATCAACACTTTGTAACATCACCAGGTAAGGATCTTCTATTGCCCATCAACACTTTGTAACATCACTAGGTAAGGATCTTCTATTGCTGTTGAAAAATTCAAAAGAGGAAGTGTTAACTGGCACTTTCGCAATGAACAGGTGTGTAATATCTTGACTGCAAATCTGAACTAATTCATGTATTCAAACAACAATCACCATGAAAATCACTGAAGGTCTATAGCAATAATTAATTTCATAGACCAAGTTGTCTGAAATGCATGTTATTCAATGATAATCATGCTTTTCCTTTATTATTGCACATATTTTCTAAATTTAAATTTTGTTCTCAACCACTAAATGTTCAAGTTTACATTTCTTTGTATAGGTCTGGTCTATCGGAAAATTTATATGTCATAGACCGACCGATGGTCTATGATGGGTTTATTTTAAGTTCCAAGACTGGATGTGCATTTTGTGACACTTCACCCTCACAATTGATTTTGTCTGTAGGTCAAATATGCTTTCACTACCGATATACTGTCAGTTTTAAGTATCATATAATGTGTATTTAAGCTTTACTTGTTATTGTAGAAAATTACAGTTAAAATATACTCAAGTTGTAAACAAATGTATGTAATATTTGGAATTATATATTGTATATGTTTTTGTTTGTTTCAGACATGCATAGGTCAGCACCCTATGTAATTACTGGCTCTGTGGACCAGACTGTCAAAGTTTGGGAGTGCCGCTAACTAATTCTGCCAGGAACTTGCATTTTACTTGGACTAGGTATATACCAAGCAATGATACAAATATATTGTAAAACTGTCCCGAAATTTAATTTTCGTCACAAATCAAACAATCATCCAATAAAAACCATTGTGTGGAGAGGATCCAGTTTGATGGTATCTGTCTGGGAGAGTTTGGATTGGTTGGTATAAAGCCTAGTTTTATACTTTTGGTCGAGAGTTCGGTCGAACGTGCGCACTACTAAGGGTGCTGGAGAAAGATCTCAGTCAGTGATGCCTCCGATAAATATGACAGTGCTTGCTTCCAGTGGTCTTGTCCGCTTGTCTTGTTGTTTAGTCATATACCTCTTACACAACTTCATTAACTGATGGCTATCTTTAATGCGAAATTACAAAACAAGATCGATTTTTCTATGAAATGAGGAAAAAGTTTTCCTGTACGGGGCAAAACTGAGAAGATGGCTGATTAATTCATGCTCAGTGACAGTGTTGATTGTATCTGAAATAGTTCATGCTTATTTTACATATATATACACATAAACCAGTGATTATTGGACTTGGGGAGTATGCTATATGCTCAAAGACTGGTGTTCAGATTTTTAATCGGGAATGCTGACAGTGATACAGAGAGGGAGATCAGCTAGCCACGGAATGATCATAATCATTTAAACAAGATAATTGACATTCTAATTTGTGTAGTGTGTATACAGGATCTGACACGTCTTTCACCACAATGTGTGCAAAATGCAATATATTTCAGCGTATAGTACTATATCTTCACAATCCAATAGTTGTATGACATGTGCTGTTTTTAAGCTGTGTACATTGTGTTACTGCCAAGCTTATATAAATTGTCTTGTATTTGTATCCATTATGTACACACTGTACACAAGTAATAGATATTGGTTTGAGCTTTTAACATATATAAAGGGTTAACCATTGGTTAAAGCTATAGGTTGGAAACAATGTAAGCCCAAAGAAAATTAAAACATATTGTATTTGACTGCAGTGTATAGGTAAATTATATTGACATAAATAGATATGTATGCTATCCAAGTTTATTGTTATCACCATCTAAAGGTGGATTTAATAGTTATACAGGGAATTTGGTATGTACAAAATATTTTAAGTGTTTCCTGAAGTGATGCAATGCACTTGTGTGTTGCAATATTGACTTATTGTGTCAGAATGTCTTTAATAATTTATTTCCAGATAATTAAATTGCATACGGTTTTAAAGGATAAAATTGAATTTGTTGATTTGACAGTGCAGTACTATGAATTTTATTGATGAATAATGTGAATACTCCTATCCTACCTATTCATTGTGTATATTATATTGTATCATGCAAATTTGCACATGGTGAAGATTTTGTAACTATTAATAGTTAATGATTATAATCATCCTTCTTTAATATTCCAGTTATTCTCTTCGACACGTACCTGAAGGTGCTTGATTTATTTTTTGCCATAAGCATTTCCAGAAGACGGTTTGATGCACTTGAATTAAGACTTTATTGTCTTTAAACATACCTAAATTGCCTCAGTGCAGACAGCCCTGTAGAGCACTTCATAGTTACACCATAGATTGGTCTATTATTTGGAGTGTTTCAAGATCGCTGTTGGTATTGAGTACAAGAGCCAAATTGTTCAATATATATATATCAAACCTAAAAATCTGTGATATGCTTTTTCAAATTAGATATTTTCATTGTGTACTGTTTAGATAATGGTAGATAACAGAAGTTTTTGGGCCTCATCTTTTGATGAAATTCCATAATTGAAAATCATTAAATTGTGCACTTACCTGTCTGGGAGCTTTAGGCATCAAATGTCAGCACTAGATGGGTCAGGTCAAAGTTCATGTTTTAGTGGATTTTATACAGATTTTCTCATATGATTGGATGTACTCAGTGACCTTTACAAACCTGAGTTTAATCTATGGTGAAATGACCAGATCACACTGCTGCACCCCAAAAACTGAACCCTACTTACTGTTGGGCAGAACTACCAGAACTGCGAATAACGGGTATGGCCAGGTTGTAAAGTATTATTACAGAGTTGTTCCTCTTGTTTTTGGTGCTGATTTGCATAACTGCTCTGATGCATACAACCATCCGTCCATACATAATAAGTAATCTCAGTATTTTCCGGTGATATTTTTATGTTGTAATTTTACTTTATCTTTTTGACAAGTTTCAATGCACTCATATTATAAACAATGTATGTTTATTTATGCAGCTCAAATTAGCATTCCATGACTTGATTTAGATCCTTGTACCAATTGAAATAATATATGGTATATATGAATTCATCCATTAATATTTAAAACACTTGTTAAGCCTGAAGTGGTTGTGATTTAAAGCCTAGGTTCCTGTTCACTTCAGCCTGTTTCATTGTATCCAAATTATATCTGAAGGATGTCTGCAGATTTTGTTTCATTTCGTGAAAATATTATGATGGATGGTTGATGCAAGAATAATTATGACAGCACTTAAAAACCTTGAGGAACCAATCAATGACTGATAATCCCTATACATTGGTTTGGGTTTTAGAGGAGTTGATTCTGTATGGAATCCATGAACATGGATGAAGTGTGTCATTCTATAAAGCTTGCCATCCTTATATATATACAGTCTATGTAGTATCTCATAACATCTACAGCATTCTTGTGCTACAGTCAGTTAGCTTCATCTTCATCGTTAAGTTTGCAGTTCATTTAATTTATTTACAACACATGCTTTTTATTACAGGACTTCAATTATTATTTGCAGTATATACACAGTTCTATGTGTTGTTTATCAAATTATGTTCAATGGTAAATGCAACATGCATTGTTGCATTCACTTAACTTTCAAGGAAGGAAACAAAATCTCGTACTTGCATCACATTTCCTTGTTGGAGCTGTGCTGATGTCGGACTTAAACGGGTTGTGTGTTTGTGTTCATAAAAGCCTCTGTGGTATTTTGTCTTATATGAAAATATGGCCAGTTTTATTTATCTTGTTACAAACACTCCATTCTATTTTTGCAAATTTGAGCATAAAATGAATCAATTTTTGAATACAGATTGAAATTGATAAAAATAGACATTGCATATTTGAATGCTTTTTGCCAAATGCTGTTCTAGTCCCATATTTTCCACTCATTGTGGTAAAATGATGTTATATTTAGATAAACAAAATGTGCAATTTTAATTGAAAGATTTGTTTTGTGTAGTTAGATAGATGTAAACTTGACTATGATGACCAGTTTGAATCTGCATTATTGTAGTACTGCTTGTTACTTATCCATTACAGTAGTTGGTCAACAATTTCTATCTGGTTTGGCCTTGGAATTGTGGGGGAAAGTTCTTGGATGGTGCACACGTTTCAGTCCAACCTCCAGCGGGAAGTGATGCTTGTACAAAATTTGTTTCTTTTCCGACCGAATTACACCGGAGTGACCGCCAGATTGATTTTTATTACTTTTGGATAATGTTTGACTTGTTGGCCTTAAAATATATATAAAACTAAAATTAAGCTACCTAATGTTAACACCATTCCAAACACTGTGCAGTGGTATTATCTTATTGATCAAATACTGCAAACCGTTACTGAAATTGTATATGTAATGATGTATAATAATGTATTGATACAAGACTATGCTGTTATATACTATAAAACCATTACAGTTACAGCCAGGTACAAGGAGAATGGGTTGCATTTATTTATGCGGGAATAATAAAGATGTGTCGGTCTACAGTAAACGTCAGATGTAAACATTACTTGACCTGACTGAAGTATATTCTATATACCAAGTGCCAATGTAGTTTGATTTTTATTCATATATTTATGTTATGTTCACTATATTTCTCATTTTATTATCTCCATTGTATTACATTCTCTGCAATAAGAACAGCATTCCACAAATTTTATCTTGACATCCTCTGTCAATTTTAATACAATTTCTGATTAATTGATCTGAATGACATTTGATTCATTGGTGATTTAAGATAGTTTCATGGCCTTTTGTGGCATCCAGAGAAAAAGTTAACTCCTAGGAAACCAAAAACAACCAGATGAATTAACGGTAAAGGTTGTTTGATCGTTTCCACCAAGTAACACATTGATAGTTCGGTATTAGGGGATACCATGTTCATATCTAATACTTGATCCCTTGCCTTTTTGTTTGCTGTGCCTCTCCTGGAATGTTTGTATCATCATTTATGTATTCTATCAAAGATTGTTGCTTAGAAAACAGATGATGGAAAATCCCTTCATTTTTGCCTTTGCTATAATCAGAGGTAAGACCCCTAGTTTAGGGGATTATATCCTGTATTATAGATGAAAACGAGGGAATTTTCTCTCATGATCTTTCCAGCTTTCCTATTTTCTCTATTCTGTCTTTCTCACTTTTTCGATTAAGGGAATGTGTAAGTAAAACCGCCATAGGTATGGCTTGTTAAAATGTCTTTCATTGGTCAGACAGTGTTTTAACAGCCAATGAAATTCAGTTTTAATAAATCTATGGTATCCAACACTACAATTCCCTTTATAGCTGTATATATAGCACAATCTATTGAACCTGATGTAAATGTTGATCTGTTGTCTCTAACTTCAACCTTCGTCATAATTAAATATCATTCTCCTTAACAGTCTGTTTAAAGAATATAATGTGTATGCATTTTGTTTTTTTCCTTCTGGTACCATAAAGAAGTGAAATATTATTAATTGAAAAATCTTTTGGAAGGGAAATTATAAATCGCTTGACAATTTTATTTTGCCAAGTAGAGTCCAGGAACATGTATGTTATGGTATTCTTGGACAGGGTATCAATGTGGTTCTGTACTATCGAGATCATTTTTACATCATTAAGTGCTATTCACAGTCTGTGTACGTTATAACTAATGTATCTGCCAATTTGTTTGAGGAGCGGTGTTGGGTGTAGGACCTCTGGGTGATGACAATTATCACTTTAATTAGACGGTTATACCACACAAATTGGAATGCGTGGTATAAATGGGTGTTCATGAATACTGAACTATGCCCGCCCTTCACACAACATGGCAGGTTTCGTGTTGTAATATTTTAATGATAAAGTGGATAATATTTGGTTGACACATCCGGACTTGAAGGTCTTTACTCATCTATCTAACTACATTTTTGTTGCTTTGTACGGCAGTCCTCATGTACGTCAAACTTACAGTTTTATCTTTGATCTGGTCGTGTCTACTGTCAATAAATGATAATGTCAGATTCCTGTTTTTAGTTCTTGTCATTTTTCTTCTGTTAACCAATGGTGTATCTTGCACTTTTCTTTTATTCACACTAAACAATTGATTTAATTTGAAGTGACCAGTTCTACTGAATATGTGTAAATTCATAAATAATGGGGTTTTATGTGCCCTCGCTTCTGTATCAACAGTAGTTTAGACCAAATTGGATTTCCAACTTTTTGGCACCAGCATCCCTGATGAGTCCTAGAAGGACGATATTGGCCCCAGCATCACCGATGAGTCCTAGAAGGACGATACATCTGTATGATGCAGTGTAATTCATTTTTAGCATACTGTATATTACAAAAAATTAAAGGTGCTGTGTGGGTCTGAAGTTCATTTTTAGGATGATATCAGATTCCTGTATTTCTTGTCAGTTTTCCTGGTCACCACAAGCGTATAGCAGATCTTTCTTACTGGTATAAAAACTAATCGGTGGTATGTGTGTGGTTTAGAGGAGAGGGGGTTGCATGACAGAGAAGTTAAAACAGTAATCTGTTAAATGTAAATTAAACATAATTCAGATAGTGCATTTATATGGTATTATATTACAAAAAATAAAATTTGGTCGATGATGTACCAAAGATACCAGGTTCAGTTTCAACTTGTGTTGAAATATTGATTTAGTTGTATTTCTTTAAGTTATATTTATGTGATTAAAACGTTACTTGGACCAAACGCTTATTTCCAGTGGGGTCCATTTATTGACAGACGTTGATAAAGAAATGGCATGTACAATTGTGGAATCTAAAATACTACAATCTAGCGAGATGCACGATAGTTTAGGACACATTAGACATGAACACAGACCAATGACGTAACAATCAATACCGGGTCCCAAGAGAAGATAACTCTACAAGTACAATACGCAAAGACGGAATACACCTACGCATATATACTGAAGTATGTTATAAGAATGAGGTATACTTTAGGACTCTTTATTAGACATGAATATAAGAATAGGGGTTAATTAAAATGCTGGGGAGAAACTTAAGTTCTTGCACCTGTGTGTTTCCTGTGGAATCCTGAAAATCTAGACAAGTCATTACTTCGTCTCAAAATAGCGTCTTAAATAAATATGTTTAATAGAAAGGAACTGTTACATTCTGAGAAATATTTTGCATACTTTACAATGTAACAAAGGATGCAAAAAAAGATGATAGATAAAATAGAACCAAATATACAACAATAACAGGAGTAGTGACAGTGACAAAAAATAATATTCGGGATTATTCACCTTCTTAAATTGTGATCCGGTTCTCCAAAAGAGTTTCTGCACAACGCAATACTCGTACTTTCGTACTTTCCATCAAATCCAGAAAAGTATGTAGGTCACCAAAACTCTGATACGTAGCGACATGCAATACTATAGTGTCTTTAACCTTTACGTTTGTTTGATCTCATCTTTATTTTGCCTTTGTTTCTATCGCCCTAATGACTTCTTTTGTGTTGATGAGCCGGTAAGCATATACTAAGTATAACATTGTTCGAAACAGGTCACGATGACGACCGTAAAATATCAAAAAAATGTAGACTGAAGTTTTGTAGAACACCCTGGATATGGAGATTTACTGGTCAACAAGACAGGATAGGTAGATTTACCGGTTAACAAGACAGGATAGGTAGATTTACCGTTCAACAAGACAGGATAGGTAGATTTACCGGTCAACAAGACAGGATAGGTAGATTTACCGGTTAACAAGACAGGATAGGTAGATTTACCGGTGAATAAGACAGGATAGGTAGATTAACTGGTCAACAAGACAGGATAGGTAGATTTACCGGTTAACAAGACAGGATAGGTAGATTTAACGGTCAATAAGACATGATAGGTAGATCTACCGGTTAACAAGACAGGATAGGTAGATTTACCGATCAATAAGACAGGATAGGGAGATTTACTGGTCAACAAGACAGGATCGGTAGATTTACCGGTTATCAAGACAGGATAGGTAGGTTTACCGGTTAAAAAGACAGGATAGGTAGAGTTACCGGTTAACAAGACAGGAGAGGTAGATTTACTGGTCAACAAGACAGGATAGGGAGATTAACTGGTCAACAAGACAGGATAGGGAGATTTAACGGTCAATAAGACATGATAGGTAGATCTACCGGTTAACAAGACAGGAGAGGTAGATTTACTGGTCAACAAGACAGGATCGGTAGATTTACCGGTTATCAAGACAGGATAGGTAGATTTACCGGTTAACAAGACAGGATAGGTAGATTTACTGGTCAACAATATTGACTAGAGAAGCATTTCATCCAAAATGTTCACGAAATCTCATATTTCCCAACAACATAATTTGAAAGTTTGACAACCATGTTAGTTATTTATCATTGCATTTCAGCATAAGTAAAATAAGTATCAACATAATGTACTGCTTAAATATGGCATGCGTTGTAAATTTCGATACGGACATTAAGCAAGCCAGTCTAAGCATTAGTGGTAACACATTAGTGAGTTTTTGCTTGCATTTATGCAAATATATACAACAATGTTGAGTTAATACGAACATCCCTATCACTGTACACACGTTAACATTGCGTTACCTGTATGAGTTTTTCTCCATTTAATCAAGATGCTATTTTAACTGTCACTTACATGGCGTCAAGATGTTCATAAATTGTACAAACATGACAAAATAATGTCGGGTCTAATTAATCAAAAAATGTTTCGTAGCAGGGAACATTTTTACATGGTTTGGATATTTATGGAGTGTTCAATTTCTTTTCTTTTAGAGGATTTTTTTTTGTCCAAGAGAAATTTAATTCCTCAGCAACAGATATCCATATGCATATTTACAAATAGAATTAAAAATGAAAGAGGCTTTCTGAATTTACGTTGATTCTTCCTCACAGCTTGTTTAGTTCCTATAAACATATATACATCTAACAGCTGTTCTTATATACCCGGGTTTTTTTTATAAGATTTTAAATTTGAAGAAAAAAAATGCTCGTACAAAATTCATGGCAAAAGTATGATATTGTTAACACACAGCTAATTAAAAAAGTTAAACCAAAAGATATGTTGAATTTAAGTTAATTACAGAGTGGTACGTAGGCCTGAAAAATCATTAGTAAGTTACTTTAAAAGAAAAAGTCTCATATAATCACCGGCCAATCTCAGACAATCAAAGGATTATTTGAGAGTTACCTACCTTGTTTCAGTTATTTGCCTCGTTAAGCATTTGTGTGGAGTTAAACCCTAGGGGTCTAGGCCTCAGTTATGAGGTAGGTGAGCAACAACCTGCTCTCAAAGAGTGACTTCAATTTTACAATATATTTAAGCTTGTCATGCACCCCTCTAAGAATATCTCAGAGGATTTTTTATGTGATCATGCATAACCTTATCTTGATGAAAGAAATGTCATTTTGCAGAAGAGAAGTTGGAGTACAGACATCGCGAAATGAAATCATTACAACATTGTGTAGTAGTACAAAGACATACGTCTCGGAAACATCACTTAAACTATTGATATATCAAGCCTTTTATTTTTACCTAAAACTCTAACGATCGTAGGTAGGAAGGGCAAATGGCATCACACAAACTGGTATTCTTCTCAGACGTTTTTTTTCTAATTTATCACTTCAACCAAAATAATGAAATAACTTGTTTTCTTTGTACATTGGGAAACGTTCCACATTTGTTGTAGAATAAATTCATGGAATGACTCTAATACTGATGCGGTCAGGACCCTTCATGCGCAACACTTGTGAGTCCCCGAGTTGTTCCGTAACCGTGATAACCACACTTAATTATCTCTTTAGAGTAGTGGAACAGTTGATGATTTACGCACTTAACTTGGTATTATTTTGAAATTAACCAGTACTTCTCTAATTTGTTGAAACTAAGGGGTCTCATCTGACTGCCAGCATGTTGTACCCTAGCCTTTCTTGGGCTCATTGGTCGAACCTGCAGTATTGTGCACTGTACTTCCAGATTTTAAGTTGCAATCACCTTTGAGCGCGTTACCTTCATCCTTCACTACCTGATGGAGACTGAGAAGACGTTGAATCTAGAGTAAGGAAGCACAGACATGCTAACCGATAGGCAGCACAGACATGCATGCTCACCGATAGGCAGCACAGACATGTTAACCGATAGGCAGCACAGACATGTTAACCGATAGGCAGCACAGACAAGTTAACAGATAGGCAGCACAGACATTTTACCGATAGGCCGCACAGACATGTTAACCGATAGGCAGGACAGACATGTTAACCGATAGGCAGCCCAGACATTTTACCGATAGGCAGCACAGACATGCATTCTAACCGATAGGCAGCACAGACATGAATGTTAACCGATAGGCAGCACAGACAGGCATGTTAACCGATAGGCAGCACAGAAATTTAACCGATAGGCAGCACAGACATTTTAGCGAAAGGCAGCACAGACATGTTAACCGATCGGCAGCACAGACATGTCAACCGATAGGCAGCACAGACATGTTAACCGATATGCAGCACAGACATGTTAACCGATAGGGAGCACAGACATGCATGCTAACCGATAGGCAACACAGACATGCATGCTAACCGATAGGCAGCACAGACATGCATGCTAACCGATAGGCAGCACAGACATGTATGCTAACCGATAGGTAGCACAGACATGCATGCTAACTGAAAAAGCTTTGCGATATTCAATTTAGTCTTCAAAACAAAAGCGTTTTGTGAAATGTATTGACCTTTTTCAATTTATTTTGGAATTCTGGTCAGATGAGGCTACCTCAGAGCCCCCCCATGACCTAATTTGTATACTGTGACGTTGTCTGTTTTACTTAAGATTTTATACCTACTCCTGGGTTCCAATGACCGGTAGATATTCATGGATTTTCCGTTTGTTTATGTTTCATATCAGTTTCTTTTGATGATTTGTCATAAACACTTTGATCCTTGTGTTTACCCTTCTTGACAAATATACAACCCTAATGCACTCGTTTGTGCCTTACATAGAAAAAAATCTTTTGATATATGGTC